TTTCTGGATTCCCAATCCAAACATCTACTAATAAAAGTCCATCTGTTGCTGCACTGGTCTGTTATGCAAACCAAGATGGATTTAAATGGCAGTTGTAGTGGAGGGTGGACAGGACACCCTTTGAGAGTCTCGTAATAAGCTTCCCAGCTTTCTTTGGGAGGATCTTGGCTACATGCTGACTTTATGGAAATGGAAGTCTCCTCCCTAGCTTGCTCATGTGGCCTTTGGTTAAGGGCAGGTGAGATTCAGGGGGGCATCTGAACCCCAAGCCTTTGGGCTTGGGCCTGCTTGTAGGATGCCCACTAATGGAACTGGGAGTATTTGAAGCCCCAAGCTGGAGGATACTTACTGGTTGTAGTGCCATGTATGGTGCTTGAATGATTGAGTGGTGCTCAGCTGAGAGGATTCAGAACTGATTTGGCTAATTTGACCTGGAATATGAAAAATGTTATAAATTGTATATAATTTTCTTCTAAGCGGCATGTACAATAAAGTTAAGGAAAAGAAAGCTGTTTTTAAGATGTTGATGCATGTGCATTGGTTGTCCACCTCGTTTTAGAGTTTGGGAAGTTTTTGAATTACCCTGGTGGTTGTATGTATACATAAGTTTTATTGCATTTTAATTAGTGTTTAGTGATGTTTCTTCCCTGCTGATTGAGGAACTGGCTATGGAATGTATATAGAGGAACTTCTTCTATGTAATATCGCTTTGCACAGGAGAGACATGGGATGCCTGTTTTGCACTTCAGAGGTATAAGTGGAGAAGTGGGCCAACTCTTCTGTGGACAGAAATATGTCATTGAGAGTATGATGAGGTGTAATCTCTGACCACACACCTATGCAAGCAAAAACCCATAGTATGGCCACTGGTTATAATGGCAAAGCTGTGTTTCTGTGCATTTATTTTCTGTTTTGCAGTGAGAGTAGTGACTGAAATTAGGTGTGCCACATTTGGAATGCTTTGTTAGCATACTGTACTGGTGTAATAATACTGGCAACCACACTTGTGTAGACCCAATTTTGCAATCTAGCAATACCCTCTAGCAATGAGAATTGCAAATAAAGAGCAGATGACTTGGTTTCATCTTTATCCATAAGTTTCTCTCTCGACTGTGGCTAATCTGTTTTCCTTTTCTTTGTTTTTGCTTTAATTAAAGCATCATAAATTCTAGCTTGCATCATAATCAGAAATGTTTTAATTGTGTTAACTGATTAGTTTTGTTTATAAAAAACCTACATCAAAGCCACACTTTTGTCAGATTTTTATTGTCTAAAAACTACTTGGGTTAAAAAGACGCCTTTTATTCAGATCTTTCAGTCGTGTGTATTTAGCAATATCTGCATACTATAGTTAGGGAAAAAATGAGATTATTGTCCCTTTTACTTCTACTAGCACTGCAGTGCCAGCACAGTTAAAATAGTATGCATTCTTGGGTATCCTCAGTAGAGATGTTTACCAAGTTCAAATTACGCTTATCCAGATTCACTGAATGCACTAGGGTTGCACAGATGTCCGTGAGTCATAATTTATCTTGCAGGACTGCTTGCTTCTGGTGAACAAGAAACAAACAACCCTTGACTCTGATAATCTTGCAGGGATGGTAGTTAGGAGTGAAAGTGCTTTCCCTGTTAAATAAACTGTCTTTTTGGCAAAATAAATAAACCTTAAGTCACTGTTTGTGACATCACAATAGTGAAGATGCTAATTGTCTTCCATTGTCTAACTAGAAAATTGTGGAAGTTTCATATAATTTCAGTAAGAGTTTTTTTGCGCTATGTTACTTTACTAGATTCAACTTGCAGCGTAAACTGATGTAAACACAGTGTTCAGACTGTGTGTGTCCTAGAAGGATTTTTTAGGCACTGTAACGGTATGACACCGGATAGTCTATACGATTTATTTCTTCTTATCTGGTGCATTTCGCCGCATCGCTTGGTATAGAGTTTTATGTTTTTATTTGGCTGTGCATTCGTTTTGCAATAATGGTTTGAATTTCTTACAGACTATGAGCTGTCTAACTTGTGGAGCTCCTAACTTGAGCATTAGTTTTGAAATAAAAATTTCATCCTTTTTGTTTTTCAAAGGACAGTGTGATTTTTTTTTTTTTTTTTTTTTTTTTTTTTTTTTTTTTTTTTTTTTTTTTTTACTAGCTTTTTTTGAGTTCCCATTTTAAAAAAGAGGAAACAGAATGGTCGGTGCTGGTGGTTAATTTGGTTGCCCTTTATTCTTTGTTCATTCACAGATATTGAAGAACGGCATCTAAGACTTTCACGAAGCAGAAGAACTTAAATTGCACTGAAGGCTACATCACCAAAAAATCACACCCTCTTTTTCTCAGGGGTGGATTAAACCTAGCAAATTGTATGTGCTCTGTGCAAGACCCATACGGGTCCTCCCCACTTGCTGGCTCTTTCCCACTCCCACTTTGCCTCCCGTCTTGCCTGCCAGGAGTTTTGATGTTGGTGGGGAGGGGTTCTCAAGGCCAGATTTTACCTCCTGGGTAGTCTGATCTGTTCAGGCAGGCCAGCCCCACCTGGGGCTTATGCCTTCTTACTGTGCTTCCCCATTTTAAGGGAATACTCCTGTAAGTTTCTTGGGGAGAGGGTGTTGTCAGCGTTTTGGCTTCCGCAGCCTTAGCCCCTCTTCCTCTCCAGCCAAACCCTTTGCTTAGCCTCCAGAGTTTGGCTTTGTCCTGACGGCAGTCATTCCCATCTTGGGGTCCGCTTGCACTTTTAATAGTCTCTGTCTTGGGGCCTGATTTCTGTTGCTCAGTTGCAGGGGAGTGCACTCAAGCCTTCCTGCCGGTGGCTGCCTCCACCCCTATAGCCGTAACCGAGTCCTGTGGTCAATCTAACCAAAACGTAAATGCGAGCACAACAGCTATGTAACAAAAATCCTTCCCAGCCCTGGGTTAGTACTTTGCTGCAAGCTATGAGTTCCCCTTGGCTTTTCCCTTGCAGCTC